TAGCAGGGACAGCGCGTCCCATTTGCCAGGACTGCGTGTCCCATAACAGGGACTGTGCGTCCCATTTGCCAGGACTGTGCGTCCCATAATCGAGACTGCGCGTCCCATTTGCCAGGAATGTGTGTCCCATAGCAGGGACTGCGCGTCCCATTTGCCAGGACTGCGTGTCCCATAACAGGGACTGTGCGTCCCATTTGCCGGGACTGTGTGTCCCATAATCGAGACTGCGCGTCCCATTTGCCAGGGATGTGTGTCCCATAGCAGGGACTGCGCGTCCCATTTGCCAGGACCGCGTGTCCCATAACAGGGACTGTGTGTCCCATTTGCCAGGACTGTGTGTCCCATAGGGAGGAGGAGGAGGATTGTCTCGGCTGTCGTTTAAGGCACGGGTCAAGTGTTACCGTACCGTGCCCTAACAAAAGGGAACATGACCGTCAACCTAATGAAGCGAAGCGGCGGCGGCAGCGGCCAGCCGCACTGTATATGCCGTACCCCGACCGCTATTACTCGGGTACTATGTAATCTACCTACGGATGCCTACCAGGCGAGACACGGCCCACGACTGTGAAGCCCGTTATATGGAATGCGCCACCGTCCTCCTTCTGGAGGGGGGCCGCTCCACGACTGTGAAGCCCGCTTAACTACCCTACTCTCATCCTCCCTCAACAGGAGGGCCGCCCCACGACGGTGAAACCTTATTATCGCCAAACTCTTACCTTCGCCCTTCGCTGTCACTTGTCCCCCCACCACTAAGTGGCAATTCGTCCCTTCCCCCCAGACTTTGAAGCTTGCCCACCCCCCTCTCACAATGAGAGGCAGGCGAGCAGCGCCCCACGACTGTGCCCTTTTAACAACCCCACTCTCATCCTCCCTCAAAAAGAGGGCCGCCCCACGACTGTGAAGCCCTAACATTGCCCCTCGCTTATCCCTTTACCTTTACGGTCACGTGTAACCCCGCGACTAGATAGCAATACCTACTCGGCAAACCTCTCCCCTACTACTGCTCTCCATGGGGTCCATGTGAAGCACGGCTATCCCCTTGAAAGCTACCCACCTATTATGGGAGCGGCCGCGGGGGCGAACCTTCCAATACTAAAATTCGACACCTACTGCTACAAGAAGGGCCCCACGACTGTGGGGCACCAATAACCCGGACTGCGCCGTGGCCACCTCTCTGTTGGGCGATGGCCTGCCCCACAACTGTGAATAGGACGGGAAGAATCTATTGACACAACGTGCTATTGATACGTTCCGGAGATTCCGGGATTTCTAACAGCCTTCGCGCGGGGTACACCTTGCGTCGAGTATTGTCTACTCTGGCTGGCGCCGCTGGTCAGTCACCCATTCGCAATCGAGTGGTCGCCCGTAAGGGGCTATTTGGCAGTTGCTGACCCCCCTTCTCGTTGCCGAGCGCGGGGGGGACGGTGGCGCACCGTCGTATTGCCCGCCGCCGCGCGCCGCGCGCCTCGGCGGATTTCCAAAGACCTGGCAAGGCAAAACATCCTCGACCCTGGAAATTTCTCCGGGGGTAAAGTTGAACAAATCTGGGGGCATTTGCGAACATGTCCGACCTACTTTTTGAAACGTACCAGATACGTTTTTGAAAATTTCCGGGATCGATTATGAAAAATTCCGGAATCCATTTTGAAAAATTCCGGATTTCAGAATTCTTCAGATGTCCTGCGCGGCGGGCGCATTCAACCCCTCAAAACAGTTTTTTGTATAAAAAAACCTCCGGGCTCCTTTTTGAAAAATTCCGGAACCGCTTGCGCGGGAAAAAGCGGAAGCGTTTTCTGACGCATTCTACAATCCAGAAATCATGTCCGGGCGGTCCGACGGGCGCGGCCGGCTGGTTCACGCGCCGCGCCGCGCGCGATTGGGCGCAGCGCGCGCCGCGCGTTGCGCCCGCGAACAGCACTCGAAGGGGCTACCTCGAAAACAGCGCCACGGCAACTGCGACTCGCGGACCCCCCAAGAGTAACACAGCATGCAGCCTGGAATCTTCGAGGGCGCTCCGATGCGCGAAAAACGCACCGCGAACATCACGCAAAGAACCTGCGCGACGGAATGCGCTCGACCATTCGTCCCTGGAGCCAGCGCGGAAGAACAGGAAAACCTGGAAATCTGGAAAACTATCAATATCAATACTTCATGCTCCTCTGGGTGAAGCCCCCTAAAGCGCCAGCCCAGGCCCCAGGGCCGCCCCACGACTGTGAAGCCTCAGGGCCGCCCCAAGACTAATATGAACAATGCAAGGCGAACCTTGTTGTCCCGGCTCTCCGGGCTCCTTAATAATCCCCCCCCCCACGTCCACTAAGTGGTCCTGTCGGCTCCTCACTAGCAGATTCCCAGTCCATGAAGGGTGCTGCGTTAAATTGGGGTGCCAAGGGGGTCACGCTCCCAGCCCCTTAGTCCGAGGGAACTGGGCCCTTCTGCCCCCTACAAGTGTGAACCCTACATGATGCATACGGTCTCCGTTGCTTCTCTACCCCCCTGGCGTGGCTGGGGACTGGCATTCGCCCCAGCCCACGCTCTGATTCTAGCCCTTCCCTAACCCCCTCAGGCGGTTACTCCTTGTGCTGGGAGGGCATTTCAACGTGCCTCTTGCCACTGTCGCCCCGCTGTTCACTCCCCTGGGGGCTCTGCTGGGGTGCTCGTCGGGCGTGGGGAATCCACGCCCTTAGTGGCGCCCCGTGCGTCCCCAGCCGACTCCCCCAGAGGAGTATAGAACAGCATTGGCACGGGGAGGAGGAGGAGGAGGAGGAGGAGGAGGAGGAGGAGGGGGAGGAGGAGGAGGAGGAGGAGGAGGAGGACTCCTGACCCCCCTCCCCCCCCTCCGAGGCGAGCCGTGCAGGGCGGCCCACGGTGGGAGGCCGCGCGCTCCCCGCAGCGCCAGGACGTCGGGGGACGGGCGCCCGGCGAGGTCGAGTCCTCGCGAGGCTCTCCCCCAAGAGGGTCTTAGGGGACCAACAAGTCGCATGAACATAAAAACTCGGAGGTCCGCGCGGATTTCTCGGATCGGCGCTGGGGCTCCAGGGTCCGTCGGGGGGCTCCCCGAGAGCTCCGTCCGCGGCGGATGGTCTCCCGTGGGGAATCTGAGCCAGATTCTACATGGGAGAGCCTCCGCCGCGGACAGGGCCCGTTGGGGGGCTCCCCGAGGACCCCGTCCGCGGCGGATGGTCTCCCGTGGGGAATCGGGGCCAGATTCTCCACGGGAGACCCCCCGCCGGGCGCGCTCCGCGCGCCAGGGAGGGGGGCCCAGCGCCGATCCGAGAAATCCGCGCGGACCTCCGAGTTTTTATGTTTATGTCACTTTCTGTTCCCCTAGGTCTGGCAGCATCGGGCCGAACGCTCCTCCATCCAACCCCTCACGGCCTCGTCCTCCCCCCCCCTTAACAGCAACGTGCGATGGAGACGATTCGCTGCGGGCGCCAACCGCGCCTCGAGCAGCAGCTCTCCTGGTGTGCGTTATGTGTTCTCGCTGTATTCCCAAGCAACCTCTAGTGTACTTGTGCCATTCGAAAACGATATCCAACATGTCGTACAATACCTATCTCCATCCATGCCGACACAGCGTCGCGCACTTCTTTCTCTTCGCAAGGTATCTCCGTACTTGAACTAATGCTTGTGTTCGTCATCTCATTGCCAGGGGCCAGCAGATTGTATACTCCGTCGGTGATCTATGCGCTAATGTCTGGGGCAGCACTCATCCTACTTGTAGTGGACGGTGCAACTGGCAAGGATCAATTTCAATCCACGCGGGTTACGTTTCCTTTCAACAGCACTCGAAGTACGGTAATGCTGATTTCGCTTTGTGTCCAACCGTTGCTGGTCTCTGCCAATGATTGACTATGTCGCCATCTGCGGGTTCCCCATAATCTCTGCCATGTTTTTGTACAAACTCCAAGACGTGGGCGTCCCGCTCTGAAGGCTGGCTCGTGTCTGCAACCGTCGGGCAACTTCAACCCATCGCTGTCGTCGTCCTCTACGATCTTGTCGTGGTGAGCAAAGCGACCTCTGTCGTCAAAGCATATTGGCTCTCCCTCTATTGCGGCTTGTTCCAGCTCCAATCCTGTATCAACACGTTTCTCCAACTAGTCCAATTTGAAATAGTGGTGTTGCGCATGATGTTGCCCGGGCAACTTGATCGAATTGTATCTTCACCCCTGGCAGCGTGGCAGTAGAGAAGCTGTGTAACATTTCTGAAACACAGATTGTCTTCTTGCGTGAGCCCTGCGTGTACGGCCCCGCCGCCGCATTCTCGATGTCTTACTGGCGCGGCCTCCCCTCGACTCAGCTTGGCAATCAAAAGTCGCCCTCTCTTCGAAAGACGGCACCGTGAGAGACATGATCGATGGGTGGGCACGGCAAGTACAATACGCGGAGGATGTGCTCGGGTTCAGATCTGCCTCCCTGCCCTCTCGCCCCGTGGCCGCAGGAAGTTGTTTTGTGGGACCTGGACCTGCCGGCGAGGTGCGTTTGCTGCTTCTGGCTCCATCGGGAAGAATCTTCCTGAGCCCCTCACGCCGCCCAGGAGGAGGAGGAGGAGGAGGAGAAGGAGGAGGAAGAGGAGAAGGAGGCGGAGGAGGAGGAGGAGGAGGGGGAGGAGGAGGAGGGGGAGGAGAGGAGGAGGAGGAGGAGGAGGAGGAGGAGGAGGAGGAGGAGAGCGGCTGGGAGGCCCGCTCCCCCGCCTGTCCCCGAGCCGCCCGAGGCCCCGCCAAGCCGCTGCTTAGCATGGGGGGGAAACGGGTCCCGAGGGAAACGGGCCCCGGACCCTGGGGCCTCCCACAGGACAAACTCACCCAGGGTAGTACTACCCTGGATGAGTTTGTCCTGGGAGGGCCCCAGGGTAGTACTACTCCAAGGTAGTCCTCCAGGGTAGTACTACTCCAGGGTAGTACTACCCGGGGCCCGTGGAGGGCCCCGACAGCCCGACAGCGGCGAACAAAAACCTCAGGGCCCGCTGCCTCAGGGTCCGTGGCCCCCCTGGCGAGAGGCGCCTCGTGCTGGGACCGCTCGGAGATCAACGCCTGGATCTCCGCGTCGGGGACGAACCACCACTTGCCGGTGGCCGCCGGCGGGCAGGGCGAGCCCTCCGCGTCGGGCTCCTCGGGAGTTGGGGGAACCAGAAAAGCCCATACAGTCGGGGCGTTGCCCTAAGGAACCCTAAATAAGGAACGAGGTCCCTTTTTCCCAAAAGTTACACTTCGATTTCCTATGGAAAGCCTTCGGGGAACCTAAGGCAAATTGCAACCCAATCAAGGAACACCGAGCCCCTCCCCAACGAAAAGGGTTCCTTCTTCAGGGCCCCGACTGTACAGCGACTCCCTGGACCTCTCCCGGGGTGCGTTCTGACTTAGCATTTCAGGGCGAGCGCAGCGGTGGCGACGAGGGCCTCCCAGGCGCCCCCCCCCCCCCCAAAGGGAAAACGAGGCAAAGGCAGGAGAGCCCAGAATCGAATCGAGAAGTCGAATCGGCGATCGAAATTCGTCGGATCCGCGGACCTGGGCGGCCGAGTCGGGGAAAGCCGAACCGACAGAACCCGGCAGGTCAGTGGGCCTCCAAGAACTAATCCCAGCCCAGATCGGCATCCCAAGCCGAATCGAATCGGAATCGGAATCCATCGATGTCGAATCGGCTCGGGGGAGCCGAAATGAGCCCCGGCCGCCCTGCGGCGTGCGCGGCGCAGCGAGCTGCGCGGGAGCCGCGTGCGCCACGCGCAGGCGCGCGGGAGCTCGGGCCCGCGGCGCCTTTTGGCGCGGCCCGGGGGGGCGAGGAGGGCGAGGCGCACGAGGGCTCGAGGCCCTGCTGCAGAGGGCAGGAAAGCCACCCCGATGTTAACCACCCCGACACGCGAAGCCGTTTCGCAAAGGCACCCAAAGAAGGAATCGAACAGGGCGGGGCTGATGAGTAAAAGGCACAAGGCCGTTGAGGAAACGCCAAGTTGTCTGGTCTGGGTGGTTTTCCTCCCTTGATGCTGGGGCCCCAGATGACTGGCTGGAAGTGCTGTCGTCCCTTCGGACTTGTCCGCTTGTCAACGTTTTCTTATTCGGCGTCTCGACATCGGGCGGAAGCGTGGGGGGGGAGGGGGGGGGTCTGGCTCCGGACCTCTGCTCAGTGGGACTGTTTGCAGCAGTGCGTCCTGTGGGAGAGGCTCCAATTGCTTGAAACAGGCGCCAGCAAAAACAGCCAATATACATCTACTCCATGGGGGGAAGGGGGGGGGCGAGGACCCGCGCCGATCGGCAAAACAGTGAATAAGACAACGATCACCTGGGGCCCTGGATGTCTGGCTGGAAAAATGTTCGTCCCTTCGGTCTTGTCCGCTTCTGTCTGCGCCTTGCGGTCAGCCCATACCGTAAGGATGCGCGGGACGGATTCAAGGGCCTTTGGCGCCCATGCCAAGGCTCTTCGAGCGGGGCTGGCCATCGAAAGCGGTTGAGGATAGACCGAAGATGACCGAAGAGGCAATGATGCACGGGTGCCCTTAGGAAATCGATCATCCATACTATCAGGGTTGACCGTAATCTGCTTCGCTGTTCCCATCGTCGCCTCACCGCTGCTTGGATCCGAGTGGGCGCTGACAAGAAGCGTCTGGCTAGAAATCGGGCGCGCCCCCCCCCGGCAAATACTGGACAAATGTTGCTACCATCCCGTCAACGATCCGCAGGGGCGCCACCCAAACTGCTGACTTCGCCCTCTCTGCTCGAATGCGCGCACACGCGGCTGCTGCCTGTCGCCCTCGACTCCTCGCGCGGGCCCGGGGTCCAGGCCGGTGCGGTCAAGGCGCTGAACTTCAGGACCGCTTCGGGCTCAGGATGGGCTCTGTTCTTCGGGCCGCGTCTCAGAGCACTCCCTCTCGCTCAAGAGCCGCGCCTGGACGGCGCGTCGGCACAAGAAAAACCACATGCGCATGTCTGGGAGCGGCCACCGTGCCTCGGAGCTCGACCACCGGCAGCCTTTGTGCGAGTGGCGAGCGAGGGTGATCAGCAGCGCTCGCGTGCAGGAGGGGGCGAGCAGGAGGGGGCGTGTCTTAGATCCCCAACCACTTCTGGCAAACAGAGAGGGCTGCCGAGGCTCCCATCCTCATCGCACAACCGCCGCCCGCGGAAGCCAGCCGTGGGACCTCTCGGCTGGCGGCTTCCACGATCGGGCACCTCGAGATGCGTGCACGTCAGTGGAACTGTTTCCGTGAGGGCCACTGTCAGTGAACCAGGCCCGTGGTTCTCTCGAGTCGGGCCACTCTTTGCTGCCAGGCCCCGGAGAAAAGCTCTGGTGACACTGTGTCCCTCTCGAGCCCAAACGATATCCTTGAGTCGGCGCCACGATTGGATGGAAACACGTGCATGCCCCTTTTCAACACCTTCGCAGAATAATGCCTGTGGCAAGATGGTGGTCTCTTCGTGGACGGCTCGCGGCCGTCAAGGGGGGCCGCCGTGTGTGTTGGGCAATATCCTGGTGGTCATATATTTCATATTGAATATGTGTATTGGGCAGTTTTGCGGTGTGGGTTTGTTGTGCAGTTCAGTGCAATGACGGGCCGGGTAAACCATATGACGTATCTGCATGTGATGCTATGCCCTGACGTTACGTGTGGGGCCGGGAGGGGCCGCTCCTGAACAACGGTCGCCGCAGCTCTTCGAGTTGCGTGGTGTCCTCACATGCCTACGGATTGGGGACACAGCTTGGTTCTACCCCCAGTTTCGATGCAGGAAGAAGCTGCCTGTACGAGGGGGACAGGCGACTTGATGACGAGGCACAGCAACTTGCCAATGCGCCTGCTCAATCAAGCGGCCATCACAAGTTGGTGGCCTCTCTCGAGTACGTCGCGAGCCGATCGGGTTCATCTAGACCTCTCTCTCTCTCTCTCCATTTGCAAGCCGATGCGGGCCGACGCAGCCTGTACGAAGGAGGGACATGGCTTGACCCCGAGGCGGGGCATGGCGACCTACCAAAGCCTGGCATGACTCCGAGGACGACGTTCGCCGACTGGCCGCTGCGACCGCGGGAAACACTTCAGCCGTGGACGGGTGACAACAGCCAGGTGGGAGACCAACGACGTGACGCCTGCCGTCGACGCGCAAACTCGCACCCCAGCATCTGAACAGTGTGACGACTCACCGTGCAAATTGACAGTGTCGAAATGTGCCCAGCCCCCTTCCTCGCCATCGCTCGGACGTCCATTCCCTGTGGTTTTGTCGGTTTCGTGCGTGTTTTTTTCGCCAAATGATCAAGGATGCTCCTCGATGGTCCTCGCCGAAGGAAAAATGCACACGTCCGAGCGATGCCAGGCCTTCTTTCTGGCCAGCAGGAGGGAGTATCCTGAAGGTCAGCATCGCTGTCGGAGTCATCGCAGGCCGGCGCCATCCCACAGCTGGGTGAGGCCATGCCCAACTATGGCACCGCTCTGTCCGCTTTGGCCCGAAGGAGCGCGAAGTGGCACGGAAAGAAGGAAGCAGAGAGTCGAGACTGGCGACGCAACTTAACAGCGAACACCGCAGACTTTCACACAAGACAAGACGACGCGAGAGCAGGAACTCCACACAGCCGGAGATGCAGAACGTGCAAACTGTCTCTCGCAACAGCCTCCCCTTCGTCCGCATCGTCCTCATCCCTTACCTAAAACTACGACGCTGCGGCAACAACAAAGGACTGATCAGTAACGATCTTGTGGAAGTGCAGATACCGAGCACACCAGAACCCATGCCTCCCTGCCCCACTCTGGTATTATTCTCCTCTTCAGTCCCTCTTCCCATTCTCTCTCTTGCCCTCCTCCTCCTCCTCCTCCTCCTCCTCCTCCTCCTCCCTCCCTTTCCCCTCTCTCCACCCTCCCGCCTGTCAAGTTCAAAAGCAAAACAATGACGATATCCCTCAAAAACGGTACTTGCTCTTTGGGACTGTTACTTGTTTTATTGTGTTATAACGAAATTGGATGGAACTTCCAGGGTTTCGGGTGGTGCCCGGCTGTCGCCGCCTCGTTGCCGCCTCGTTGTCGCCCCGTGCGCTGGGTAGGTGTCGGAGTTTCGACGGGTGCCTGGCTGGTGCCGCAGGGTTGCCGCCTCGTGCGCTGGGTGGGTGTGTCGGAGTTTCGGTTGGTGCCCGGTTGGTGCCGCCTCGTTGTCGCCTCGCGCGCTGGGAAGGGGTGCCGGGGTTTCAGCTGGTGCCCAGCTGGTGCCGCCTCGTTGCCGCATCTCTCGCCACATAGCTTGCACTGCGTGGCTCACACATCCACAATACAATAGCTTACTGTTTCGGGGTCACGCTGGCAATTCCATATCTTTCTGATCCACTGGGCGAATCAGTCGCCACAACATGTTCTCATGCTTTCCCCGTTTACTGGGCGAAGGGCCGGTGTTTTTCAGGCGTTGCGAAGTCGACAGAGTCGTAACTGTGGGCGGGTTCCCAGTTCCCAGCCACAGCTTGGGCACTCTCAGCGTGCTGCTGACTGAATCGGACGGCGCCGCGCCCCGGGGGGAAGCGAGAACGGGCGGGCCTTCTCGGAGGGCTCGGAAGGCCTCGGGCTTTCTGACAAGTTTTCGGAGGACTCCCGAAGACGCAGAGAACTTCTCAGAAGGCGTGAGGGCGTCTGAGAAGCTCCGCCGCCTTCTGAGAAGACCCGCCCCACTGGTTACGAATAGATCACGCTGCTCTTCTAAAGGTGTTGTTTGCCCGCGCCCCCGAAATCGTGCGTGAACCTCGCTTGCCCTGTTGTCCTCCCGATATCTTCTGCTCGTCGTCCATGTCGTCCTCCTGATTCCGCCGCCCGTGATTCACCGATCGTCGGTGTACCGCAGATTCGAGCTAGGGAGAGTATCACCACAGGGGCTGGGACGGGGACAGAAGGGAGCAGGGGGCAGAAGACATGAAGAAAAAACAGGAGGATGAGGAGGAGGAGGACGACGAAGAGATGGGGGGGAGGAGAAGAGGGTGGATGAGCAGCGGCTGGAAATGAAGCGAAGGAGCCGTAGGGGGTGGTGATAGGCGACGATGGAGGGAGAGGGCAAAGGGACAATCACAACTGCTAGTACGGCGGAATAATCACTTGGATGAGAAAGAAACAAAGCAGGATAGGGAGAGGAGAGGAGGGAGGATAGGGGAAGGGTGGGGGTGAAAGATCAATATGGGATTTGATCCGTGCCAGCTGTTGGTGCTGTGCCCCGATCTGCACTCGAACCGAAGCGCGCGCGAAGCGCGCTTGTCGTTCGAGTCTGAAAAGAAAGCGTGTCGCCCGATGCTCCTAACTCCCAAACTTTAAGTCGATAGTCCCCGCTCAACAACGGATGCATGTTGTCCCGGTTCGGTGGCGCGCCACGGGGGGAAGTGGAAACTCCTCGCTGGAACAACCCCGTGAAAAAGGCACTGTTTCTCTGTTGCTCCAGCTACTGACTTACTGCGCGTCGCCTCCTGTCGCGTCCTCGGGCATCGGGCCGACCGGCGTCCACGAGCCGCCCACCAAGCGAACGCCTGGCAGTCCCATCGAATTACTTGTCACGACAAGCAAGAACCCCTGCGTGCAAGCGCGGTTTCAGAAAAAAACGCCCCGAGCCCCATTCGACATATTTATGACGGCTGGGAAGAGGACAACGGTACTGGTCATGACCAACCTGAGTCTTGAATGGGATGGCCAGGCCAATCGTCACACTACTGGCACATACAACGTCGCCGCCGCCGTACGAGGAGACGCAGACATGGTCCCTGGCCATAGTATCCACACACCCCTGGCCGAGGAAACAATGAAATTCTAGAGATATTCCCAAGGCCTCTCCCAAGGCGCGCTCAGAACAATATCTCGAGGATATGAGAGAAGGTAAGAGAGAGAAGGGAGAGAGGGAGGAGAGAGGGATGATTACGAGAATTCGGGGTAAAAACCACTCCAGATGTGGAACAAACTGATGGACCTGGCGGCCCATCTTCGCACAGCAATGTCGGCGCGGCGCGCAGGTAAATGCAAACGGGTGCCACGCAAATAACTGCGAATAGCAGGCGGGTTCGCCTGTTCAGCCGAAACAAAGCAGGACCGAGAGCAGGCGGGCCTGGGGCAACCCCGGCACCGTGACAAGCTAATCGGAGGAGGAGGAGGAGGAGGAGGAGGAGGAGGAGGAGGAGGAGAAGAGGAGGAGGAGGAAGAGGAGGAGGAGGAGGAGGAGGAGGCGCCTGCGGTCCTGCGCCCGGGGATGGAGGTGGGGGGAGGCGGCGGGAGACGGCTGCAAAAGGGGCACACGGCACCCCCTCACAACCGTGCGCTCCAGCCCTCCGCTCTTCCACCCCCGTCAAGTCAGGACCACTCCCCGAGCGCAAGTGTGACTCGCGGGCCTCCCGAGTTCCTCTGGACACTCCAACTTCAGGCAACATGTGATAATGCAAGTATTCGCCTCTATCAACAATTCAACAGTTGGGGCGACCGCCTGCGCGAAGCCTGGACAAGGCGCGCATCATGTAGCCGCGACACTCTGACCGACGAGGACGACCGCAAGTGGGTCACGGCACGGAGGGAAACGGCCCCCTCTCAACCCCCCCGACGTGATTCAGACCTTTGCGCGGGGGTTCGCGGCACTCACGCTGCAAGGGGCCCGACCCCGCGCTCCGCGCACGCGGGGCGGTCCTGCTCGCTGGGCCCGCAGACGCGGGGGCGGGGCGGCGGGGGGAGGCAGCGAGAGGGGCGGTCAATTAATCCTCGTCCTCCTCATCACCAGCCCGCCGCGTCCTCCGACGTCAGGCAAGGTGTGGAACCTGAGATACCCATCCAAGGCAACGGGACAAATTTCACCTGGGAAGCCGCGCGGCTGGCAGCGCAGCCAGTGACCGTCGCCGCACCCTGCGCGCAAACAATAAGCGCAGGGGCCCCTTGGCACGATGGGAACGACCCCTTTCTCGAACCGCCTGAGATTCTCAAGCCCTTTGCGAGATGGGCCTCGGCAAACGCGCAACGGCTGCCCGGGGCCCAGGGCGCGCGCGGCGCCGCGCGCGGGGCAAAACTTGAAGCCATACCTCGACATTCATGCAAGAGGTGGCCCCATGGAGCACCCAGCCTCCAAGCTCGACTTCGCCCGCACGAAGCAAGAAACCGTCGCCAGAGAAACGGCCAGCGGGAGCAAACGGAGGAGGCGCGGGCACCGCGGCGGTCGACTCCAGACCAGGTTCGGATCCAGCCGCGGCAACAGCCCCTGGTGGTACAGCGCGGCACTGGGTCGACGAAGAAGACGCGGCATCCTTGCCGCTGACCACTTCACGTAAAAAACAAAAAACTCCACGTCTCAGGCGAATTAACTCGTGGGAGCTCTGGTACAAGGCCATGGCCAGCTTGGGGACTGGCTTGCAGCGGCCTCTCTGAATAACAGGCCCCCTGCCTGGAGCAACGTCTAGTGAGTCAATCATGGCGCGCCTGGCTCTCTCACGGACACGTGCTGCCATGACGTCGCACCTGTCGCTGGAACAGGATGCGCGACAGAAAGAGCCCCCCCTTCTCCGCCGCCCACCCCGCCCAGAAATCAGCAGCGGCATTGCAGTGAGTAAGACAATTCTGGGAAAGGGAAACGGTGCGATTTCGTTCCTCCTCCAGGTGAGACGGCGCCCACGCGACCTCAGTAGTCCTGGGCCCCCGCTCCTGGACAGCAACGCGGGTCCTGACCCATAGGGCCGAGTTGGAGCCCGTCGGGGCCAGTTGATAACCGGGGCGCCAATTATTTACCACAGGTTTGCATCGCAAACGTTCGCGACGGGTCCTGTCGCGTGTTCGAAAGCCAAAGCTGAGGCCAAGAGCTCCGCTCTCAGCGCAGTCTCGACGGTGCCTGGCAGTGGCGCTGCACTGCCACAAATGGGGGGCTAGTCGGAGGTCCGGGGGTTCCCTGGCGCAGCGTGGGCCATGGCAACGACGGCAGGGCCACATCTGCGCCTGCGGCGGTCAGCCGTGCACTTGCCCCCTGATCCGCCCCCAAAGAGGCAAAGAGGCCAGCCCCCAGGAGGAGAGGAGAGGTCGAGGAGAGCGCCAGTCCCCAGGGAAACAAGATCAGGATCACCAGCGCCCTCAACAAAATAAAGCTCCGCGAGGCGACTCGCGGGGCCCACCCGGGGCCGCGGGGCGGGGTCGGCATCGGCGCGACGCCAGCCAAGGCTGAAAGACTTGAGCGATACGTGCTGGAATAATCCTCATGATTGCGATGCATTCTGCACTCTCATATACGATGTGGCGCAACGTCTCGTGGCCCTCTCCGCATCGCGGGCAGGTCGGGTCGACGTTGCAGTTGGCCTTCCGCGCGCGAGACTGGGGCCGTTGCCCCCCCGCCGCCGCTGCGAGGGTTGCACCCCGCATGTCCATGGGGCTTTTTTTTCACGCAGGGGTTCAACTTGGCATGCGCCGCGGCAAGGTCGGCACCGTGCCCCAGTGCATC